TGTCTGGGTATACATTTTGGCTGGCATTGCTAAATACACTAAAAAAACATAAATTGGCAAATTTGTCCCAAATGCACGATTTGGTGGAAATGCATGTAGGATGAAATAAATCTTTTTTACATAGTCTTTCAAACCAATATTACGTTATCCCTTACATTATCAGTAACATACGTTATTAATAATAATTGTTCGTTTTTGTGTTTCAGTATTTGAGAATATCGAATAAGGAATATGTACTAAATAAGCAAATTCAGTGTAGTAGTCGTTGTTCACGTTCTAAATATAAGGTTAAATAAAGTCTGTATATCTGTTCCGTAAAAAAAAAGCACCCATTAAAAACAATTATTATCTTTAATAAAGAAGTAAAGTTCGAAGATGTCACTTTATTCAACTTGCATAGAATATTCACCACGTGTTTATCTCATATAAGCCAAGGTCACTGTGTTGTAGTGGTAGTTATGGGTATCAAGTAAACAGTCAGTTGTCATCATCTCATCTAGGCCGTACATGCACACACCGACAGAACTTACGATAATGTGCTTACACTTATTATTAATCTACTCTCAAGTTGGTACGGTGTGATTTTGTGACTTCGGGTTATCTAACGATGTATAACACATTACAATACAAAGTTTGTTCGTGAACTGTATTTATCAATTCTGTTTGAAAGGAAGAGCTTATCAAGTTGCATTATAGACAATTAAATCTTCACACTCCAAAGGGGTCCCATGACAGCGAGCCGTGGTGTAGCACTCATAATAGAGTTTTGCTATTTCGTCTTCAGTGTTGGAGTGAGTGGCTACTGTGTCTTGAAGTAAGAGATTATATTTACATTAAGGGATTGTTACATCAGTACACAAATAACTAATCATCTTAAAAGTCAGTCATTAACAATTAAGACTACAACAACCGTAAAAACAGCCGAAATGTGGCCAGTCCTTGCAGTGATTATAGTATTTTTTTTCTACCATCTGCTGAAGACAAAAGACTTACCACCTACACATGGTGTGTACAACTTAGCGGGTAGATCCTTCTGGTTAAAAAAGGCCGTGTCTTTCTTCTATGTTAAAATCAGAAGATGGATTATCAAACACAGATTCGACCTATATGACATCAGTCTATTTACAGACTTAGTGAAGAGTGGATGTATGCCACCAGAAGAAGAAATAACTTTGGAGACACCACAGTCATCAAACCATTTAGCTGGTCATTCAGATGAAATATTTTTCTACGGAGCGAAGTCTACTGGAGAATGTCTAGTTGTGAAGTTCTCCAGACTGCAGAACAAGATGGCAGAAGTCATGGTATTATTAAAGACAGCTGACGGCAAACATTACAGTTATCCTGATGGACCAACACAAATAATATTCACTGGAGATAATAATGACTTCTGTGGAGGAGGTTTAAAGTTAAGATGTTTGAGTGCCATGCGAAAATGGAGGATTTCTTTTAATGGTCTTTTGAGAGAAACATGTCTGAGTACTGAAGAATCCAAAGTAGTTCATGTCAATTTTAGTTTTATTTGGTTAGCTTTGTCTAATATTTATGACTTAACCAATGATATAAGCGTAGATGAAATATCCGAGGCATTAGCCAAAGAACCATGGTCTGGGTATTTACCAGATATCAACAGCTTGGAAAAAGCATTGGACGTGTATGAACAGGGAGGACAACTTCTGGGCAATGTCAATGTGGAGGGACTGGAAGAAGAATTTATCTTATGGGGAACAAAAAGAAGAAATTTAGGATCCTCAGTCGAATTTCATCGCAGTGTCGACTTCTTTGGCTTCATCAATAATGGCAATATGTTCCACATCAGTGCCTCATCTTTACCAGGAATTGTGTCTAATCTTGTGTGTGGTCATTACCTTCACTCCAATGGCATACTTTTCCCCATCAGATCCTGTAACTTTAAGCTTCCTTTAATAGCAGAAAATGGACAAATACCTCATTTTGAGAGATTTACCTTTAAAGCAGGTCAAAAGGAGTATCATTGTGCTGTGAAAATGAAAATTCATTGGTGTGATTTTGACAATGGAACAACCGAGCAACACATCAAATATTGTAACATTACTCTGAGTGGTCATGACGGAATTGGACTGTCTATGTTTGTGTACAGAACAAAGGAACCTCGAAAGCTCCCCATTAATAACTCACTACATACTTTACATAGTCAAGAAGCACTCATGATGAACCCAGTAGTTTTAGATTTTGAGTGTTCAAACTGTCAACAAACAAGACTCGCGGGAGGAAAAGGTTCTTCTTTAGCCAAATTAAGTGCAATATCTCGCCAAACTAACTCTTTCATTGTCCCAAAAGGTGTGGTTGTTACCACTTCAGCTTATAAAGAATTTATTAAACATGGGAAACTATGTGAAGCAGTAATGAACCTGGAGGAAGTGGCTTGGTGTCATGTTACAGGAAACTTAAACCAAATCTGTGAACAAATGGTTTCTGATGTTAGTAAAACCCAGATTCCTGGAGACATGTCTGAAATGATTAAGGAGAAATTGCTGTCAGTCTTTGGAAGAAATCTAAATAAATTCAGATTTGCTGTTAGGTCTTCGACAGTCGGAGAAGATTCAAACGAGCTGTCAGCAGCTGGTCAGAATGAAACCTTCCTGGGAGTTAAAGGAATTAACAAAATCTTAGAAACTGTGTCCAAATGTTGGGCTTCTCAGTTTTCTTACACTGCCATTGAGTATAAGAGACAAAATGGTCAGCTGTTAAATTCTCCCATGGCTGTGATCATCCAGGAGATGGTTCCAGCTGATGTTGCTGGAGTCATGTTTACCTGTGATCCAGTGACCAATAACCCATCCGTCATCACCATTACAGCTAATTATGGACTTGGCGAGACTATTGTCTCTGCTGCTGCTGAACCTGATACTATCTTCTTAGATCGGGACTACACCAACAAGTTAGTATACCGATCTGTTAACATTGGAAAGAAAAACATCTGTTATTTAGTAGAAGCTGACGGTGAGATAAAAGAATCTGTTTCAACCAAAGACACCTCACAACCGTGTCTTTCAGAATGTACTGCTTTGGCTCTAGGAAAAATTGGCGTCTTAGTTGAAGAGTTTTTTTCTAGCCCCAGAGATATTGAATGGGCTTTGTTTAATGAAGACATATACTTACTTCAAGCTCGACCTGTGACATATTCTAATACAGAAACAGAACTTGAACTAATTCATGAAATGGATACTCCTCTGCGAAGCGAATACGAATATCTTTGTAAATCAAATGTTGGCGAGGTAATGCCTGGGGCTACAAGTCCCTTGGGACTTTCGGTTATATTATACGTTTTTGAGACTTTCTGGAAGATAATATTATCTAATCTCGGTTTTCCAAAAGAACTATTAACCTACTACTGTGCTAAAGGTTTTACAAACAAATATAATCACATGTTCTTTAACATGACTGACTACCCAATTTTTGGCGAGGAAAGTGCTATAAGTGATGGTTGTGAAGTGGCATTATTTGGACGGTTATTACGGGATAATAATTTAAAACAACGTATGAAGGAACGACACAGCATGACTGATATTTCTTTATCATTTAAGTTAAAGTATTTGATCTTTGTGGGAAAGGACTTACTAAATGCTAAGCACTTTCTAAGCAAAGTACAGAAAGAAAATGTTGATATAGAGCTCCCCTTGAATCATAATGAGGCTGAAGTTATGTATAAGTTCATTGGCCAACATCTTATTGGTGTTACCAATAAGCCTATTGCATGCCACAATAGCTGTACTGTAAATTCTATTATGTGGAGTTCACTTCTTTTAAACATATTAAGTTCAGCAGAAAAAGAGTGGAATGACAAAGTATTTTCAGATTTCGGGTACCTTCTTTCTACTTGTACCAATGTTGAAAGTGTTGATGTACCAGTAGCTTTAAGGAAATTGGCACTGATTATTAGTGATGAAATTGAAAAAGAAGAGTTTTTGAGTATGACACCAGAGACTGCACTAAGATGGTTAAGCATTAATCAGTCAACAGCAGGACAGGCATTTCGAAATTTTCTTCACAGGCATGGACACCGTTGTGTAAAGGAGTTTGATGTCAACTCCATTCCCTGGGGAGTAGATCCAAAACCTATTGTCAAAAACATTCAAAGCCTAATTGGGAATATTAGTCATGACGTCACAGAGAAAAAGGAAGTCAGTTTAGAAAAAGCATTATCCAAACTCCAGGTGTCTTTACGTTGGTGGCAAAAATGGGTGTTGTGGTTCCTATTACCGCGAGTAAGAAATGGTGTGCGACTAAGAGAAGCTTCCAAGTCAATTTTGATTAAGATGTTTAACGTTATGCGCCAAGCTTACAGCCATCTGGCAACACTGATGGTAAAAGAAGGACGTTTACCTGATTCTCGCCTCCTGTTTTTCTTAACTCATGAAGAAATTGGACGACTACTTCAAACCCGATCAGCAAAACTCATTGCTAAGGCAGTTCGTCGACGGAGGATTCACCCTCAGTTAGATGCCCTGTGCTTCTCTGAAATAACCCAAGGAATACCTAAACCTGTAAAGCAAACAAGCAGAAATGAACACAATTCTTCATCTACTTTCATAAAAGGTACAGCAGTAAACAAAGGTATTATACTGGGTCCAGCTAGAGTGGTGACCTCTTTGAAGAATGCTTCTGAAATACAGGCAGGTGATATTTTGGTCACCTACAGTACAGATATTGGATGGAGTCCTTATTTTCCTCTTCTCTCTGGAGTTGCCACTGAGTTAGGAGGCCTGATTTCCCATGGTGCTATTGTGGCTCGAGAATATGGACTTCCCTGTATAGTTGGACTTCATGGAGCTACAAGTTTCTTCAAGTCTGGAGAGATAGTTCAACTTGATGGGAACAGTGGAAAATTAGAAAAACTTATGGATTAATGTGACCTCAGTAAGTGACTATAGATATTGGGAATATTTCTCACAGAAAGATATATCTTTTGATAGAAATCAAGATGTAGAGTTTTAACTTATAATTGAAAAAATAGATATATTCATTAGAAAGAAATAAACATACTTATCAAATTCGTTCAGTATATTTCTTATCCGTTCTGAGAGAAGTACAAAATTTAAACATATATTACTTGTAAGTATCGAGAGTACTGAAAGCGACTAAATATCTTTAGAATTATAAGATTATTAATTGAACTGCTGTCATGACAAAGAACAAGTTTTGTACTGATGCTAGTAAAATATGTCACATTGTTTGTACTTCGAAATTACTCATTTACACTTCTGTCAAATGTTCTAACATATCGTGATTAATAAACTATTTCTTCGTGATGTAACTGATACATTAAAAATATCAAGGTTTTATGCTAATTTATCTTCATTCCCCATAGATAAAAAATATTACAGTAAATTAATATGATAAATTCGATTTAACATAATCATTTGAAAATCCTATACATTCTCGGCGATTATTTAAATCCCTGCGCTGCGAAAAACTCGTCCCTAATATGGCCGCGCCTTTCTTTTTTGTTAATACTGATTTGACAACTGACTTACTTTTACGCTTTCTATTGTAGTTAATATGCATCGTAGGTATAGTGCATGAGGGTAATGGATCACAAAGACGACAAACATGGCAAATATGGCATGTTCCTTTCTTTACATATTCTGCTAGTTACTACTGTTTCCATGCTTCCTGGTATCCGATTGAAAATCTGAAAGTTGTGTTGAAATCAGCTCAACTAATGTAGCTAAACTGTTTACTAATAATTACTATTGTGCTTTATGCGCTTTTTCGATTATATGTTTCATTTATTATTCGGCCAAATTTGAGTAAAATATCCAACTTTTTTGCGACCGCGGGTTATAAAAAACAACAATAAAGGTTTAGGTTTTTTATCGTTGTTTGTTTTTCTCTTTGTACAAAAGAGAAACTTTCAATGCCCTAAGTCCTAGTCCAACTCATTTCTATTGATGAATCAACTAGTATATATTTGTTCTGTTCAAATTTGCGCTTGTTTGACGTATAGGGCAAGAGAATGTGTTTCTAGAAAATTAAATAACAAAAATGGGACAACACCGACACATAGCTATTATAGATTCAAAATAAGTCTGACCTTCTGGAAATTCTGCTGCAGAAGCTGTATTTTACCTAGTGATCATGCTGTATCTACTTCATAATAACAGCCTCGCAACAAGATAAACTAGGCAGTGAATACTGTATTTTACCTAGTGATCATGCTGTATCTACTTCATAATAACAGCCTCGCAACAAGATACACTAGGCAGTGAATACTGTATTTTACCTAGTGATCATGCTGTTATTCACTGCCTAGTTTATCTTGTTGCGAGGCTGTTATTATGAAGTAGATACAGCATGATCGCAACGTTTGTTTGTTGTTAAGCACAAAGCTACACAGTGGGCTATCTATGCTGTGCCCACCACTGATATCGAAACCCGGTTTTTTTATATCAGTCCACAGACTTACTGCGATAATATTCAGTGCCAACATACCTTGTTTCAGGGCTATTATTCTGAAGTAAATGCAGCATGATCTCCAGGTAACATATGTTATTCATTGCTAGTATACCTAACGAAATACCAATCTCTAAAATGAGTAGGGTATGTTTGGTTCCAAGTCTTTGTAATGACATAACATTTGAGTGTTGTTGACATTGTGTTTGGGATGCTTCCTGTTATAGTGGCATAACACCAAAATGTTGTTAACACTAGATTTGGAATACTAGCTGTAATAATGATATAATATCTAAGTGTTGATATTGTGTTTTGGTATACCCTGGCCCTAGAGGACGATAGTTCTTGTTTTTATATTTTAGCGAGTGAAAAGCGTATTGATGACAACAATAATTCACATAATATTTTATGCTTATCTTTAGAAGGATAACAGGATTTTTATTTCAACAAGAAAAGGTCTACCACATTAGGTTATAAATAGGAATGGGTGCCTTTGTAAATATAAGGATAAAATTGATTACTGAAGAAGTTCTTAAGTTAGTTAAGATTGACAAGAATATGTGATCTATAGAATAAGATTTCTTTGATCATCAGTTACAGATGGTTAATTAACTCACGTGACATGTATATATATATTGTTTCAAAGCGAATTCCTGAAAAATTCACAGTGCAATACCGCCAAAGTAGAAGAGATGCAACAGTCTCCAAAACTAGATCCCAATCAAATCGGGAAGAACACCCTCATCCGCAAAGTGAAAGCTGTGCTTATAAAAGAGAACCATCTGATCTAAAAAACCTTAAGCAAAAAAAAAAAAAAAAAAAAAAAGCTGGGCATATCTCCTGGAACCATTGCAAGATAATAAAGAATTTAAAGTTGACGAAAGCTCACACAACAAATTTTCATAAGATAAGCCACAGTTTCATAAAATTCGAAATCAACAGCTATTTTCATGAGAAAGGTGGCAGAAGAAATTTGAATCACAGTAAGCCCATTAGACAACATATCTGTTATGTCCCCTGATGCTGCTTCAGTTGAGAGCCTTAGTTTGTTATGCTTAAACTTGGTCTTGGATAATAGTGCATAAATGAGTCCTCCAAACTGAGCCCAAATGACATTGGAGGAAGTAATTCCAAGGTCAGCACGAGACTTGGAACATCGTTATTACAAAGAACGATAAACTTCGTTACAATATTGACCTTTGTATATCATAGTTAAATAACATTCTAAGCACGATGTGGTTGCTATGTGCTTCATTGAATTTTGAATGCGTGAGAATCGTGCTGCTGTAAGCAGAATTCTAATAAATTAAATATCTTGCATCACCAAAAAGGCGTCAATTCAAAAATCCTTTAATTGAAATTTAGATCCCTTATTCATCAAAGCCTTAAATCTTTATTTTGTACAATGCTAGAATTTCTTGTAATGACGTGTTGAAGGTATGTGTAAAAGTAACGAAATAACCATAATATCAGGAAGAATGTTGTTCAGTTCGTCATTATCAATGTTATCTAAAACAAATAAAACCAAATCACTCGCACTATCTCACACATATAGAAATGCTCCTTTCCAACGTCCATGATCATATGAGAAAAAACGACCACAGTTTTTCTGAACAAGAATGTCGTCATAATAAAACATGAACATGAAATTAACAGAAGAAAAATCGGAGAAGCCTTGTCAATAAAATCAAATAATCCCACAATTAACAAATAACCAGGCACATTTATTTTTGTCTTTGATCGTTATTTCCTCGAACATTCCACATATATTTATTCACTTTTTATTTGTTTGTTTGTTTTCTTGTTCAGCTGTAAGTTAATAATTTGTCAATTCACGCGAATTGATATGCACATGCATAAGTAACCATTATCGATTATCTAATTTAAATATTTTGTTAGATTGTTGAATGTTGATTTAAATACAAAAAAGCTTCTCTACCGTTAAAACTTGTGTACCTTATAATGATCGCACCAGTGATCTAAACGTTGTACCTGTTTTAAAAAAATACTCTTCCTTACTGCAAAAGCTTTAATTTGTAATAAAAAATGTTTATAAACAGTAAGTAAAATAAAACTACTGATTGTTATCACATGTAATACAACACAAACCACCGATGTAATAAAACATTATATTTTTAAATAAATAGAATTGTTTAGCGACTATTGAAATAGCACAAGATAATGAAATACATAAATAAAATAATGCGTATAGAAGGTAACAACATCTTATTACGCAGGTTAGAATTAATGGGTTAAGTTCTTTTAAACGCTCTTAACTCCAAAACAATAAAAACTGCATTGATTTTTCAACTACAATCTAATAAGTTCAAAAAAAAACTTTTAGGTTGAAACTGTATATATATATGTGTGTGTGTGTGTTTGAAATAATCTCACACTGTTCCAGTTCAGCTTTCTGATTATTGAGTGTAGTGTTACGACAGCGTAAGTCACGTGACCCTGGTAACAAGTCATGAATTTCTAGAAGGATCATGACTTTTCCTGGCAACTCTAGACTTTTCTAGGTGCCCTCTATTTTAGTATATCCGCAAATAAAGCGGAGATATAATTGCAGACAGACAGATATAGAGACAGATAATTGAGTCAAGCGAGTGGTAGTGACCGTAAGTAAAGTGCGTGAATCGTTGTGAATTATAGCGTATGTTTAAGTTAACGTGACTGTGGAAATTCTGTGTATTGCAAAGGTGTATTGAGAAAGAATAAACGAGCTTTATTTAAGAAAGGACTTGTATCGCTGAAGTTCCTTGGGAAGAATTTATACCGGAAATTAAAAAACGACCAGAGACGTAACAGTAGCATGCAAACATTATAATTTACTTTAAAGTAGACATCCTTTATGCAAACGAACAATACCAACAGTATGATCAAAGGCCTAACTTATTTTGTTACTCACTGTGAAAGTTTGTTGAATTTGCGTAAAACATGGGTGTAATACAAATAAGCTTATTGATTTATGAAAATTGTGGCGTTTACAATAGAAAAATTAAAAACGGACCAAAAAGTAGCACTCAATCTATAATTCCTTAATGTTCATTCATATAGAAGTAATGAAACAGGTGGTTAGACGGGAGTTGGGGATCGCTCTTTTCACTCTATCCATATAATCTTAATGACGCGTTGACAAAACCAGTAATTATGCGTTAATAACTTTTTATCAAAATAAAAAAAATAGCACTAAGACTAAAAAATACACTTTTGTGTTTAATAGCATTCCCTTCTCACCATCCTTGTGAAGGATTTTTAAGGTCGAAAATCCATTCTATAAATAACATATTATTATTATTATTTTACATTTGTATCAGCAGTCTAGTATATGTGATACTTTTACTTTTATTTTGAAAAGCTCTAGTAAATGGTTACAGATCTTACTTAACTATCTCCGTTGATAAAAATTTAATTATACCGTCCCGCTTTGGTAGCAATAATATACTATCTCGATATAAGGAGCTGTTTTGGTCATTATTTGTTCATGAATGGAAAAATCTAAGTAAGCGTTTATTATGGAGACCAGTCCAACAGTTCGGGCACAATAGCTTAATATCAAACAAATCATTGAAATACGTCAGAAACTTACGCGATCAT